TTTGGAGGTATTTATGGGCGGCGTTAATGGCGGACAGAGGGGAAAAAGATGAGGGTTTTTTGTGCTTTTTTTGTGGGAAGCTTTTTCAGAATCGAAATGGAAGAGAGAGAGATTGGAAAAGTGGATTCTGAGAGACCACCGGGAAAGTGAGAGTTCAGGGGCTTCATCAGATTCTTTAGGACATTATGCTGTCTCTCTTTTTATCTCTCTTCTCTCTCTTCATATATGAATATATATATATATATATATATGTTTGTTTGTTTGGTGGTGATTTTATGGAGGGGATGGTTTAATTTTGGTCTTAATCCTACCATTTAATAATCAAAACGAATGTTTGTCCACGCCAGTGTTCAAAATGTCAGATATCGATGAAAATGTAGAGATTTCAATTTTACGGACATGTCGATATCGATGGATATTTCAGAAAAAATAATGAAAATTGTGGAAATTTTTTGAATTAACAAATAAAACTTGAATATTGATCCCCTTTAACCATAATGTAAGAATATGACCATTTTAATTATGAAAATGTGGATGTCGATGGAAATATCGAAAATAGATTTTTTCCAAGATTGATGAAAATTATTTGAATATGTAAATTAAACTTTAATTGTAAACTTTTGACTACTTTAGTATTTTTCATAATATGATTCATTTGGAAATGAGATAATTACCGGTTTCCAAATACATTTCTAAATTCTAGTTAACTCGTACCGGTTTACTTTTTACCTACTTCTCCTTCAATCATCGATCCAACTTTCCATCAAATTTACACAATTTTTAAACATTTCAACCTCGTGATTGTGTCATTCATTCAAATTATCTACCAATGAGATCCATATATACTTCATATTCTAATTTGAGCAACCACCTTCAAAACTTCCAGTCTATGATGACCGATGAGAACTATTGTAATTTATATCAAAGTTATCAAGATAGTGCACTAGATCCTCCGATATCATCTTTTTGGTATTAATTAAGTTACTTATTCTACTTCATGTCTCACCACTATTTGTATATAATAATATTTTATTTTTTAAAAATTCTAAGATTATTTCAATCTTATATATGTCAATATTTCACATATATTTTTCGATTGTGTAATTAAGGATTAGATTGGATTAGAAACTATCAATAAAGCAAATTCCAAATCTTATTAGTTATACTTTATACAATATTAAAATTCGAATGTTTCATTGAACAGACCAAGATTACAATCATCGAGGTTGCGAGAAATTATAGACTATAGTAGCATAGTAGGAAGATGATGAAAATAAAATAACCTTAAAAGAAGAAAAACAAAAAAAAAGACGTGTCGACATTTCGACATGTCGACGACATGGGGGAAAATCGACTTTTCTCCCCTATATCAATATGACGACATGTTAATATGTCTCTCGACATTTTGAACCCTGGTCCACACACAAAAAAAGAAAAGAAAAATCTTTTTATCGCGGAGCAAATACCAATTTATGGGTTGATATTGTACAATTGTTTGGTTTTATTTTTGTAATTTTTCCCATTATTGAATGGAATGAAATCAATTGAAACAAGGACAAAGTCCTAACTAAATCAGAACACAAAGCTAATCATTTCATTTATCATATTAGTTGAGTTTAAATTATTGAAAAGATAGTCACTTGATAATGAAGCTTATCCTCCATTATCTCAATAGCAAAATGATCTGATAACGTTGGGAGAATAGGTGCTCTCTATATACGTCAACCCACGATGTATCTTCCTATCTAGGACTTTGAAAATGTATTTTTGTCTTTTTTCTTCAATTAAGAGAAGAAAGAATAGAAAAAGGAAACAACAAGTAAAAAAATGGGTTCTGTTTACATGCTACTAAGCTCTTCTTCCCCTATTATTTTTTTTTCTTACGACACAACAATCAAATCTAGATTTGAATTCCCACGTCTCAGATTAAATAATATTTTATTTTATATACTTTCGACTTTTGTTCTTTTTAATGTTATTTATTTCATTCACTTTTATGTTATTTTGGTTCTTATACTTTTAACTTTGGTTTATTTTAGTCAACGTACTTCCAATCGTTTTTGTTATGTATTGTTAAAAAATGATTATTTTAGTCTGTTTGTTTTCATTTTTATCTTATTTTTCCAAACATAATTTTAACATAATATATCACTCCTTGAATATTTTGAAATGTAGCTATAGATTTTTATTCAAGAGTCTTTATTGGGTTAAAATTTTGCCAAATGGGTAAATTTTAAAAAAGGAAGGAACCACTAAAATTAACCAAATTTGAAAGTAGATATTTAAGGGCTCGTTTGGCAACATTCCCGTTTCTTGTTTCTAGTTTCAAATTTTCTTAAGAAATCTTAGTATTTTTCAACTAAGTTTGTTTCTTGTTAGTAGCATTCTCATAATTGTGTAGAAATTTTGGAAGCAACCAAAACTAGTTTCTTTTTCTTGTTTCCATTTCCAATTTGTTCCAACATAAATAAAAATTGTTTTATCATACTTGAATTCTTAGAAGTTGGAACCATGCAATACATTTTTACTCATTAAAAAAAATAAACAGAAACAAGAAACATAAATGATACCAGACGAATCCTTAAATCTTCCATCTTCATCGAAACTTCCCTCAAATTTTGTTAATTCGACCAATGATTTTAACTAAAAGCAAAAAAAAAAAAAATCTACATATTTTTGTGAGGTGGAGAAACTACATATGGTAACGAAAAAGAGTCCTCTTGCCACGTGGAGCTCAAGGGAGTTTCCTAGGAGACCCAATAAAAAGATAACTTTGCACCAATTAATTTGGTCCATGCACGATACGAAGATTGAATCACTCTTTCAAAATTTTACGAACATGAATAGAATTTAAAGACAATTATTTTCTTGAATACAGAGGTTAAAACTCCCATACCTTCAATTTGTTGTACTATAAAAATTCCGTGAACTTTTTCTTTTTAACAATTATTCAATCTTACCTATCAAAAAGTAAAATTGCAACGCTTTTTTTGGAATGGAAGTAAATATTGACACAATGAATCGTTCAACTATGTTTAGATTATTAAAAAAAATAATATAAATCTTAAACCTTAAATGACACCTTCTTTAGGTTATCCTTCACTGTATACATTGTTTTATATTTGTAATTTTTATCATTTCAATAATACATTAAAATGAAACAAATTATAAGATTAATATCCTATATTAATTTCTCTCATGATATAATTGTGTTTAACAAGTTTAACTTTATTTATTTGAATAATTAATATAGAGTAAATGACATTTAATTTTATATCTTGTTGATAAATAACGCTGGAAAATTCATGCATTATAGATGTATATATATATATTTTTTCATTATATAGAAAAACGAGACATATATCTATGAATCTGAGCCTATAATAAAATTAACACGGAAGTAATGAAGTATATTTGATTTTTCTTTTAATAACTATTTTGTTATTTGTACTTTATTCTTTTGAAAATATTTACTTATTAATATATTTTATAAATATATATTTCAGAATTTAAAAGTTCTCTTTTTCAAAATCTTAGATAAATTTAAAATTGAATGAATGGTTTTTAAGAACCTATAGCTAGAAATATTAATAAAAGATAAAAATAAAAAATAAAAAATGGCCTTCTCATATTTATTTTCATATTTGGATGCATTGGTCGGGTTGGGCTTCTTGTCATTCTAGTGGACCCTGTGTTTCAAGCTCATAAGCCCACCCAAATTATTGGTTTTCCATTTTCAAGAGATGTTTATATATTTGATTTAAGTTTTATAATTAAATTGAAAATTTCATATTTAAATGTACACCTAAAATTAACTAATTGAATTAAACAAAATGTGAATAATAACATTTCATACAAAGAAATGTCATACACAAATATATATATATATATATATATATATATATATATATTTATCCTAATAAAAAAAGATTTGAACTTAGACCTCGAGAAAAAGAGTAGATAGCATTTATCTCTGAATTATATCATGTTGAAAATGTTTATACAAAGATAGTTGTTTATTTTATAAAGGCGATTAATGATTGTTTGGAAAATATGTCTTTGTTTCTATTTTTAAAATTATCGTTAAGAATGGTCCGGAAAACACATGA